GTTATTGTTCACTCTTTGATCTAATCCAAGTTACTCCTAATAATTTGCATATTTCATAAACAACAACTGTATGTTTTAACATTGGTCAAACAAATCTCCGTAAACCAGAATTTGCCTCTGAAAGTGCTGTTTTGTTTATATCCAGAAAACAGTCAATCTCACTACGATACCTTCAAATGTCATTACTAGAAAAAAGCATCCGGCTCATGAACTAATCAAGACAAGCTATGGTCAATTTAGTTGTATAGCACAGTTAATACACAAGGCTAGACAGATAGATAGAAGGATTGAACGATAAATAAATACTAGTAGAAGAGATTCAGATGTCCAGCAGCAGAGGACTCATACAGGTTTATTGTACAGTCTGACAGCCGTAGGAACAAAGGATCTCTTGAAACAGTGATAGGAGCCTGTTGCTTCGATTACCCCTCTGAGCGGCATTAACTCAATAACTCACGGCAACTCACATTGCTCAAGAAAACAGGAAGATAAACATTCAAAACCAAAAATGAATCACAGTACAGAGTGAAAATACAATCCTTCAGTTGTATGTCGCTGTCAGACTGTTCAATAAGTCACTTTAAGACACTTGTATTAGGACTGAAAAAACCTGCACCACTATTGACAGTTTATTGTACATAATATATCCTGCATTTAACATGTTTGCACATTTCTTTCTTTTGCAAGTCTATCTTATCTTATCTTATCTATGCAGAGCGAAACAAAACCGTTTTAACCTGGATTTGAACGTTGGAAGAGAAGATGCGTCATATTCATGCCATTAACTCTTAGTCAAACTTCATTTATGACCCTCAATGCCCCGACAAATGCGTTACGTATTTAATGAATCTTGTAAAGCTGTTGAAGCGGTGTGTGCTAGCTGCTTTTAAACTAATAGCAGTGGATTCAGCAGTGCACTACACGCTGCACCGCTGAGCCGGAGCAGGGATGATGAAAGGTGTAGCCAAATAAAATGACTAAATGCGCCATTGGGAATATTTGCACTGGACCAAACTTAATAAAACAAATGACTGCTTCAGATGTAACAAAACTAGAATATGAATAATAGATACAAAAGTGAGAGGGGACCAGGTATACATTATTTGCACTGTAAACACACATCGATAGCAGGGAAAGTAAATAAGAAATGTATTGTCAAAAGGGCCATAGATTGCTACGTTCTTACAGATGTTGTTGTCATTAATCAAAGTATTTTTCTAAGAGTAGTCACGCTTGCGAATTGCAGGAAGGTCTGGGGAAAGGCGATGATCCAGGATTTTTGTGGACATTTATGGACATTGGTTTCCCTGTCATCCTATGGAACAATGACTCTTATGTGTTTTATGGATAATGCTAACCCAAGGAAGTACTCATGGACAAAGTTCTGCTCCAACTGGCTGTGGCTCCTATTGACTTACATTCAAAAGTAAATTCTTCTAGCTCTGTAACCGTTTGTATCACACTCACCATGTGACACAGATTTTGATATTGACTTGTAAATCCAGAAATGAGCCAAACTAATCCTTGACCAAGACCAATCCTTTCACAGGGGAAACTCCAGCTTGCCTTAGCAACCATCTTAGCAACACTTCTATCTCTATTGCAGTGTGAAGCTAACGTAGTCAGAATAGATGCCCATTTAAGGAATTCAGCTCCAGCTAGTTTGTCTTCATATCAGCTTCTTCTGCATTCAGCAAACACTATGGGTGACACCAGCACACGTCTAGTCCACTCCTAGTCCGCGATCTATGGTTTTATTGCTGTTTTTCTATAGTTTTTATAGTCTAATCTGCTGTTGGCAAGTGAGTAACACATTTTTATTTATATAGTGCCTTTCTCAGACCAGAGTCACAAAGAACTTTACAATTGTTATCTTTGGAAATTTGTCTTTCACTCCACACCGAGATAGGAACAAGGTCGCCAGTACAGGAGGCACATACCAGATCTATTGTACATGTTTTTAGTGGTAGGGGAAATCGGAACACCTGGAGGAAACCTACGCAGACACAGGTAGAACATGCAAACTCCACTCAGAAAGGCCTTGTTCCGACCGTGCTATCCACACAGCCACCGTGCTGCCCTTGAGGTGACTACTGTTGATTTTGGGCTTTACAAAAATACATTGATTTGCTTTGAACAAGGTTGCAGATTAATGCCAGCTTATTTCAGAAAAGGTACTCCCACAGTGCCAGCCATTTATGATGATTTTTACTGATTTTTCAAGACCCACAGAATATTGTGTACTATGACTATCTGAAATCCGACACCAGATTCTAAAAGAATGGTCTGTCTACTTTCCTCAGCAAAAAGAATTTTGTTTATAGCTTTTTTCGTTCCCCTGTAATCCTCCGTTGAGTAGAGGGAAGTTTTACTGAAATCACCAGAAATCACCAGAAAGTTGAGAAAAAAGAGGCACAACATGTGCACCTACATGTTTTCAAACCATTCAGAGAGCAATGCTGCCACCTGCTGGCTCGATAAAATATGGTCTCAAGTCATCCCCATACATATTAGATACAATAGACATCTGGGAACGTGAAAATAGCAAAAAAGGCTTTGACGTATTTGCGCGTCAATGGGACACAATGAGTTAAAACGGGCACTTTAGATTTGTCAGGGACTGTGCACTACATATCTATGGCTGAATAGGTTTATAAATGCATAAATATGAGAAGAGAGAGTCAACCAAATGTTCAAAATGTTTACAATGCAGATGAAAGCAACATGGCAGAGAGGGCAAGTGTATAAACCGGGGATGAAAAAGGCTCCTCAATCAGAGATGATTCACTGGAGTTTGCATATTCATGAGACAATCTGGGTTATTATGTGAAGAGAGGGCACAGCCAGAGCCAAACAGCAGCGGAGAAGGCTATACAGTCAAAATATGCAAGAACATTTCTGCTTCGATGATCAATCACATTAGCCCGAAATACTCCATTAACTATTGAAATATGGACTTGCAGAACAATGACGAATACTGATGTGGTGAGAGGCTGCAGACATGGGAGACCTGTAATGTTTTCTTATGCACTTTCCACCTGCTCCCACGGCACAAACTAGTACAATACATTACACTGCAGGCATTGTTTATGTAAAAATAACCATAAAGAGGTATTTTATTTTTGGACAATGAATACAAGAGAGTGCGACGTTTTCCTTCTGGGATCACAGTGAGACAAGTAGGCGAGTTGTTTGGACCTGTCTTGGTATATTACCAAAGAAAGACAAGACTATGTTAAGAATTTTAATGGACTATGGAACGCTAATCATTCACTTGGAAAAAATGTGCTAGAAAGGACAACTTTATAAATGAAAAAGTGTGCAAAAGCCCAAACTCCGATTGTAAAGGCTTCACTCTTGTTTCATACACTGTCATTATTTTTGAATGAATGAATAAATGATTTTTATTTGGACATTCGAAATGAGAAAAACAAAACATAAGCAATGTAATTATACATTGATTAAGCAGAATAAATAAACAATCAATGTCCAATTATTTATCAAAAATATTGACTTTGTATCTGTTTTTAAACTCGAATATTGTTTGACATTTTTTAAGTTCCTCGTCCAATTTATTCCATTTTTTTACTCCACTGACAGTAACACAAAAGCTTATGTAAAGTATGGTCCGTGGTGAGACTAACTCATACAAACCCACGAGCATTAAAAGGCCAATATAAAAGTTTGGTTGAATCACTGTCTAAATTATTGCTATACTTTGTTCACACAGAAGAAGCATGGAACATCTTCTAACAGATTGTGGAGACCTGGGGTTTTTGGGTGAAAAACCTGTGTTTTTGCTCAGCGGGAAAGAGCCCAGGGAAAGTAATTAGCAGTACATCTCATCAGTGCAGCAGGTTAAATAAAGACAAGCAGAGTAACAGTCGATTTCTTTGAGGTGTCGGGCTTTGAGAAGATGTCTGCTCTGGCTCTGCATGTGGTCTGCCGTCTGCTCCCTGTGGACTCAAAGCCATACGCGGCGTTAGCTCTTTAGCGCGTAGCCTTTGTCATTCCACAGACAACAGGCAGGTCTAATGAGCGCTCTCCCCCCAGGATCACACAACTGCCGTCACATCGTTCAGCATATCCATCAAAGTGGTGAATAGCAAAACACACCGAAATCCATCCATCACCTGAGCGCCTTAAACGAGATATTTAAACAGATGAAGGAAGCAATGAGGATTCACCCTGAAAATGTGTGTAGATTTGTATTCATGCATGCCTTCGTGATTTTAATTCTGCTTTAACTTGTTTGCACCGAGAGCCAAAGCAATTTCCTAGTTTGTGACTTCTTGTTACTCACGTGGCAATAAAAGGGTTCGGACTCTGATCGACAGATTTGTTGATGTCGAATGATGTGTGCTCAGATGAACGTGCTCGTGCGCAAGTTTGGTGCTTATACAGCGGAGGTTAAAAATACAATTTATAAGTAAGTAAGAAAGTAAGTAAGAAATCTTTATATTTATAGAGCATTTTAACAGACCGAGGTCACACAATGCGCTTTATAACGTTCAGAGCTGCATTCTCTCTACACAGCGATGACCGAAGCAAGACGCCCAACACACTGGACCATCAAAGCCTCCAACCAAACACCATCCATTCACTCACTCATTACATTCAAAATAAAAAATTTACCAAGCAGTTTATCAGGTTTATTTGACTTTTTTGACCAAAGTTTTGACATTGGGTGTGCTTCTGCGGACTACCAACAGATCTTTATATAAAAATCCATAGTGAAAGTTGTCTATTGCTCTCCCTTCATAACTTTTCTACCTTTTAAAGTACAACAAAAACAAAAAGACACAGGTGGCGAGTATGAAGAGGAATAACCAAGAGGCAAAAGGTCGCAGAGGTTTCACTGATGGGCACAAACGCTTTGAGTCTAAATCAGCCTGAGGCAAGAATTTCTCCCATTTGAACCAAAGTCCTTCTCAGCATTCACTTCGGGCAACCGTCGAGAGGCTGTGCTCCAATGATAACAGTTTCTCCAGAGAGCAGACATGGGCTCGTAAGTGCTGATTTTCTTCAAATGATTAGAATAACGAGAGACATTTTGCTTTTCCGCTGAAATTTCCTTGACAGTTTAATTGGAATGCAACGACAAGGCGTGTTCTGTAATTATAGCCACGCGAGGAATAGAAATAAGGCTCTGGAGATAAATGAGAAATAAAAGGAATGAATCACAACAGACCTGTTGTCAGCTGTCAATGCACGTCGGTCGCTTGGCAACGCGTCACCTGATATGAGAAATCTGTCATGTGAGATTAGGTTGTTCTTCAAATCAAAAATGGCGAAGAATGAAGTGAACAGACAAAACCAGTCAAACACCTGAACAAGTTTATTCATTCTTTGGAAAGAGCTCTGGTGTGTGCCATCTTCTCTGTCTAGTACACACTGGGGGGGGGGGGGGGCAAATGTATCTTGTAATGTTAAAATCCTGGTTAAAAACTATTATTTTTAGCCGTGCATACAACTGAAGGATTTTATCTTTATTCTTTATCTTATCTTGTGCTGTGTGCTCTTCATTTCTACTGTTCTGTAATTTGTGATGCAACAATGAAATGTCCCCGCTGTGGGTCTTTTATTCATAATCTCATCTTACTGTTGTGTTAGAAATTCCTGATATTGGCGATGATAGAGCAAAACCTGGAGCTAAAAACACTAAGAACAGTTGTTGTTAAAAGTCCAAGACAATTTAGAGTTTTCATTTAAGTTTCCTAAGTAGTCCCTGACTCCAACAGACAAGAGCAGCAGGTGGTGAGAACTCCAGCAGAAGAAGTGACGCAGGAGGCCGGTCTACAGAGTCCAGTCAAATACTGCTCGCCGTTTCATTCCGAGGCAGATCGGCGTGTGTCATAGTCACGCTGTCAGCTGCCGTGACAACAAGCCCAGAGGAAGCAGGTGGTCGTCACGGCTGCTCCCAAGAAAAATCAGAGTTTGGAGGAGTTTCCCTTTGTGCTGCGTGAGATTTGGATTCAGTTAGCGTGTCAGAGAGACACCTGCACGCTCGGTTGGCGTCGCAGCAGGAATTACAATCTATATTTTTTGGGTTTGCAGCGCTTTTGAGACGAAAATAGTTGAGCTTGTGTCAATAATGGGTTCAGGGGTGATTAGTAATTAGATTAGAACAGCTCCAGACATAAACAAAGCGCTCTGTGTTATTTGTTTATCGTTCCTTCGGGAGTGATTCTATTCAGAGACGCAAAGATGGGACTCTGAACCCCCGATTACCCGGTCTGGACCTAGAGCAGACCCCCAGTCCCCCCCTCCCTCATCTGACCGGATGCTTGCACACTTTCCTGGAGCCTTTTGGACCCAACAGACTCTCTCTGGAAATGGATGTGGGTCAGTCCTGGACTCAGCTATAGCCTGTGCGTCCATGAGAGTGGATCTATCATTTAGTCTGAGATTTCTCTTTTTCCCCATGTAGGTTTTTAGATTTATTTCTTGCCAAAGGAGGACTTATGGGCAGGGGATGCTCAAAAATATGAATGGTTAATCTGCTTTTCTTTTTTTAACCATTGTTTGTATTAGTTGTGTAATTGTCTGCTATTTTAATTGCTGCTTTGCTATTGCTCATACTGGTTGCCTCGCTTCTGTCAGCGTGCCCCAGGGCAGCTGTGGCTACAATAGCAGTTTATCACCACCGTGTATGAAGTGAAAGAATAAGGACATGTAAAGCGTCTTTGACAGTCCAAAAAATCTCTATATAAAACCGATGCATTATTATTATTATTATTTTTATTATTGACAAATCAACAATTTTATGAAGTCAGAAGTACCAGAACTGATAAATTATCTCTATTAAATTGGGAATAGTGAATAGTCCTTGATACTTGATACAAGCTGGGAATCACTCAAGCAAAGTACTGCTAATAAAAAATTGTTCATCTTCAGTCAAGAATTACATTTAACGTTTCATGTAAAAAAGGAAAAGATAAGCTATTTCTCACTTGGATTTAGAAGAAAAGTGCTGAGGAAAGTCTGAACTTGCATGATCTATTGGCATATGTACTCAATGGTCTCGCCCCTTCATACCTGTCCGAACTTCTAGCAGTTCGTGACTCGGGAAGATCATTAAGGTCAACAAATCAGCTCGTACTGGAAGTGCCCAGAACTCGGTCCAAACATTGGGGTGATCGAGCTTTTTCAGTTGCTGGACCAAACCTCTGGAACAAGCTGCCCCCTGACCTACACACCATCACTGACTTTGGCCTTTTAAAATCCAGACTTAAGACATATTTATTCAGACTGGCTTTTAATACTCAGTAGCACAGCGACACTTTAGTTTATTTAGTTTCTCATGAATGTTTTTAACAGATTTTATGTGATTTTATTGTAAAGCACTTTGGTCGCCTTGTGTGTTGTAAAGGGCTCTATAAATACAATTTGATTGATTGATATGTAGAATTAAACTACACACCATTTTTGCATTGTGACACAATAACTAATAAAGTCATACACAATTTCTAATCTGAACCTACACTAATTATATTTTACATCTAAAGCCCAAAAAGTGACTAATTCAGAACAGATCAAAGTTGCATTACAATCTCTTGCTCATTAACATCAACCCGTCATGGCTCCTGTGATCTGTGTGAATGAAGGGGTAGAGGAGGTGGGAGATGAGGTGGGAGAGGAGGTGGGAGAGGAGGTGGGAGAGGAGGTGGGAGATGAGGTGGCACACAGCAGTCCCTAGTGGGGTGTTAGAGTAATTGCTTGTTTCTCCGTTCCCTGGAGACTATCATACCGAGGGCTGAATGCAGAGGCGCTGGGCTTGTGCACGCAGATATCAGAATAATGCAGAGCTGACAACTTCAATCATTTTTCACTTTGAGGTTGGGAAGCGCACAGAGACGCACATACAATCTCTGACATAAATAAGCATCTACGTTAACACAACAATAAACATATAGCCAAAGCGGACAAAACTAAATGCATTCACAATCAGTAACAAGACACTGACAACTAACTGCTACCGAATGCAAAAATAACAGAAAGGGATTCAGAAATAATAGTCAAAATTGAGTGCCAATGCCTTTAAAAACTTGTAAAACCTTTATTAAAACAACTACTTAACAGAATTTATTGGCTTGATATGAACTTTTTTCACTTTTAATGTCCCAAAACACTCAAATCACATCGCAAACGCCACTGAACAAACATTTAAGACCTGTTGGAAAATGTCAAGAACCAGTATTTTACCCTGATCTAGTTTAAACAAACAAAACAAATGCTACAGAATTTATCATGAATCGTTTTACTTTATCATTAAACAAGAAGATTAACCTCATATTTTCTCTTTCATTGATTACTCGATTGATATAGCCATGTTTTTATCAATCTCAGTTGTCAGATAAGTTCCTTTAATTAAATAAAACCTCGGAATATAAACCCATTTGTTATATAAAAGGTTCTGCTGACAAATCTTTGCTCCAAATCTACTCACAAAGAGACCTGTAGATCGGATTTTCGAAGAAAACATTTGAATAGAATTGAATAGAAATGATCTCCATCCCAATTAAAAAACGTGAAATCGCCACACCCTTGAGAAAACTGAACTCTGAGGTTAAAAAAGCTACCTCTGTACTACATGAACGAGAAGCAGAGTTTTGAAGGAGAGAACAACACTCACAGCAGAACAATCTTATACCGTTGCTTTACCGATAAAAACAACAACAAATATTTATCATTCTGTAAATGTCCAAGCCGATGCAAAGAGAATGTGCTTTTACATACAGTCATTTCTTGTCTAACCTTGACTCAAAGTAAACGGGGAAAGTTTTTCTCTTCATCCATCACTTCTTACACTTCATGAGCCCAGTGTTCTCTCGTACACCACATTACCATGGGCACTAATGGCCCCGCACTAATGTAAGCTACAGTTTTTACCGACAAACCTGAATCGATCTGTCGTCCCTATAAGGGCTGCAAGACAGAGGGCAAAATGGAATGAGAATTTGACAAGAAATCCCTGCGAAGACTGCAATTATTTAGCGTATTAATAAAAACAGTAAGTATTTGTTTATTTTATAGTTCAATCTTGTATAAAATTAATAGTGTTTAAAGTGCCTGTCTGTTGATGTTCATTGTAACATACAAAAAATAACAATAATAATCTAAGTATAGGCATTAGAATCTCTCACTGGATTGAAAGAATTTCTGAAAAAAGAAAAAAAAACATGTTGCGCTAAAGTTACTGTTTTTTCTCCATGTTCCAACATTGTATCCTCATCAAAAACAGACCTGGAGTTGTTTTTAGATCCATCAATGCTGATGTTAGGAACTTCTGGCACAAACATGTGACATGTAATATAAAACACTATTTTGGGGCATTAAAAATGATGATGCCATTCTATAAAAGAAAAAAGAGATAATCTGCACACACTGTTTCTCCCAAGTGTCTTTTATTTACAGACCACAAAGTGTAAGGTTTCAGTCTGAGGCCCTTCACCACTATAGGTCTCCTTTAACTCATTGACTGCCAGCCGTTTTTGATGATTTCACTGATTCTCAAGACACACAGAATATAATTTCCTAAGACTATGTGAAATATGAAACCAGATTCTGAAAGACTGGATTGTCTACTTTAATCAGCAAAAATAAGTTTGTTTCTAGCTTTTTGTGTTGTCCTGTAATCTGCAGTCAAATAGAGGCTCCCAGACAAATACGTTAATGGCAGTCAATGAGTTAAGTATAGGGATATCCATGTGTGGGATCATTACAGTCTCTCCTGTGGGGGATTCCAGCTCATGTGCCTGGATTGCGGCAGTGTTGCGTGGCGTCTTGTTGGTCATGGGCAGCTCTGTGCAGATGGGATGTTGTGGCTTATGCAGCGATGTGCCATAGGTGAGCGAAAGGGCCGATCTGCCAGTTGGCACCAAAAAGTGGAGGAGGAGATGACGAGTTCCGTGTTAACAAGCTGTCACTGCCAACACGAGCACACCACAACAACAAAACACAACACAACCACCCCCCTGACACGCACACTGCGATAAACAACGCACAACTGCTGACAGGACACGCAATATCAAAGCTGTTGTACTTTTTAATATTTTAGAATTTGTTTTAGTTTGTTGTTGCGCATAGTCATCCAGATCCTCATGTCTTGGTTGGTGAAAAAGTTAAAGGGGAAATCAGCAATTTTGAGACTGTTTAGTTTTTTCTCTTGTCATTTACACACCCAAAGATGTCTCTAAGAGCGATCCATGCATATTTGATATAAAGACTGAAAGCAGAGGATAATAAAAGAGTATAATCGCAATATCTAGGGACATTTGGGAAGTAGTCGGAGTAGTCTTGGATAGATTAGAATCTCATAGTTTATAGGGCTGTGGTCCGGCAAAGAAATGCTTGGTTGACAAAAAAAAACCCACTCAAACTATTAAAGGTCTATGGTTACAGCTCATTCTCCTTTTCTACAAGCAGTATAAAACAAGATGGCTATTAATGCAATGTACATGTTTTTTGCGTCATACACTCAAACTTTTGCTCTTTGTCCGTATAGATATATAAAAAATGTGAATTGACAAATACATACACATATTTAAGGACATTTATGGACATGTTTAAATAGACATTGGACATCTGCCAATTGTTGGGGGATAACCGGTTATTGGTTATTATCTCGAGTTTGAACTGTTTGATTCTCTGATCCGTGTTGGAGAATCTACTGCTGTGATTTAAGCTTTTGAATTGAATTGAATAGAACATAGTTTCGTCGACATACCATCAACTAATAAATTGCCCATAGACTTTCTGCTGCAGTAGTGTGGATGGCTGATCTGTTGTTTAAAATGCTATAAAACTCACACATTAGCACGGATTACTTTTGAACAGTAGTCTCTTGATACTAATGGACACCCAGACTTGAGGGCTTTCTGCTTAAATATCCCTAATTCTCAGAGTAACATTTACAAAATAAGAAGTGACATTTCTGCAATGTCCTCGGGGCGAATAGATTGGACGCTTGGTGGATTTGTGGGTCCTGCTCTGCCAATCACTCCCACAGGAAAGCTGCCTCCAGTGAACACATGCAAAGACTGGCAGCCTGAACTTTTACACAAGAACTTCCCTTTGTGAGAGAAAGAAAAGGGATTATAAGCAGAGCTCCTGTGGGGTAAGTGGGTTTCGCAAGTGAAAGTACAGATAAATAAAAGCATCAATATGAAACGACTTTATTTGAAAAGATTTACTTTTTTTCCCTTTTTTTGTCTTACCACCTCCCGGCTCAGTGGAACTAAAAATCAGACAATTGTAAGTGTTTCGCCCCAGTGTGTCAGCGTATTGGCAGGGCACCCCATGGCTAATCCAGTCAGCGCGAGCAATGACTCTAAACTCGTGAGACAGAGAGATGGATAGAGGGTGACACAGAAGCTGCCAGAGGAGCCAGACACGTACTCACGTTAGCTACAAAGAGATGAGAATCACCACGGGAATACAAATGCTTGGTTTAACTACCCATTTTGTTTCATTATTCCCTGCTATTTTAACATTCCAAACAGGAATGTCGTAGTATCACCTTTAGTATAAAAAAGAGCGACGATTTGAAAGGGATAGTACGTCACCTCCTTGATGCCACAGAGATGTTTTTCTTTGTTTGGATGTACCTCAGTATGATACAAAACTATCAATACTAACTTCTGACTTAGCCAAGTGAAGTTGCTCCAATGATGGAAGATTGTTTGCCAAATTTAGAACAACCAAGGCCAATGAAAAACATTTAGGTGGACACAACCAAACAGCGGACCTGCCCTTGGGTAGTAACTAACCTAACAATACAATTTCGTTGAAAGCAAAATTACATTCGCTTTCTGAAATATCTGAAGCAAGCTACAGGAAAAGCACTTGGAGGACGAGAATAAATGAAAGCGAGTGAATTTGGTGTTGGTCGGAGCGGTGGAAGGCACAGATTGGTACCCTCACTTTGGTCTGTGTACCCCAGGGCACCTGTGTCCACCACCACAGTAAGTGAATGTATAATGCTGTGTGAAATATCTTTTAGTTTTCCAAAAAGCGCTATTTAAACGCGTTACATGTTTACGTGCTTGTGATGTCATTGACTACAAATATCACTTTTTCATTTGGATATCCCTAAACACAAATGAAGAAATAGCAGGGAGTACAGCAGGACATTCAACAGTGAAGACATAACACTCAAATGCAAAAACCCATCCATCCATCCATAGACATTTTCTACCCCTTAATCCATTTCTGGGTCGGCAATCAGAGATGCCACCCAAGTCACATAGCACCAACCCCTCACTGATCCTCTGCAGGTGGTGAGTCCACAGGAGGAAATGCAAAAACATTGAAACAAAATATTGCTACTTTTCTTTCCTCTGATTGTGAAAAATGCAGGGGGAAAGCAGGAGAAATGGGGTCATTGCACAATCCTGGGCAGAGGAACAAAAGGTAACTCGAACAAGTATCGGATCCAAGGATCCTATATCCAAGGGATAGAGGATAGAGGCGTGTTCTCTAAATCCATTTGTCACCCACGCTCTCATTAGTGTTTGCAAGTAGACGCGTGGTTATAAATAGACTTGGGTGCACGCGTTTGACAAGAGGGAGTCTCAAATTTGACGATGGTACATTAATCTCTTGAAGAAATCCCCAAAGACGGACGGACAGGCCGACAAAATAAGACAAGCATCTGCTATAAAAAAGAAAAAAAAAACAACCCCAGCGTTTTGTCGC